CGTTCCTGCCCCCTTAGTCACTCCTTCCCCCGCAATTTAATCCCCTGCAAACCGCAGGCAGATAGGGTACGTTACCCGGTGGCTTCCTCCAGCCATAATTTGGCTAGCGCGCTGGAAAACGCTGCTGCTCCACAGGTTCCTGTTTTCCACTCTTATTTTAACGCGCCGTTGCTTCTGTTTCTCTAGGACCCATCAGCTGCCCTCGTCTTCCTTTAACGCGCCTGGAAAAGTGGTCAGTAGCTCTGTTCTGGAATGAACGACAGCGTTTGGCTGTGGGAATTTCTACTAAGCGACATTGCGCAGAAATAAACCCCCCTGTCTTCAAAGCACGGAGCTGAAGGTGCTGTTCCCTCGGATATTTAGCGTTTGTTAGCGCCATGGGAAGTGGATTCTGAAGGGCCCCGGGTAGCCCCAGGTTTAGCTGCAGCCCGTGAGGCTGGAATTCATCCCACAGTTCAAGGAATGTCCCTGAGTCATGCCTGTCATTTGTGATTGCTTTGCTCCCCTTGTCATGAGTCGGTTTAAGGCCGTCCTGCCCCTTCCTGCTGCCAACACCACCACATGTGCAGCCTCTGTGGGGAGGGGGCTCAGCTGGCCCAAAATGAACCCTGCAAAAAGCGGCTGTCGGTGTTGATGGGGACAGGCAGCGCCAGTGACGAGCCCCGGCGCAAAGCCACCGAAACCTAAAACCCTGAGCCAAGGGGCTCATTTTTCGGGAGCTGCAAATGCGACAGCACCAGCCAGTCCTCGGGCAGGAGCGGCTGTTCCCTGGCAGCGATAACCTTATCACATCTCCCCGTCTGTGGGGGCACGGATCCGCTGCCGGCGGTGGCGAGCGATGCGGCGTGTTCGCCCCTGAATTCAGCGCTGGCCCTGCTCGGAGCTGACACTTGTCAGGCAGTTGTGCAGGCAGAGCAGGTGGAGAAATAAAAACAGGCGGCGGATGTGATTCGAGGTGACCTTGGCCTGCGAACGCGCTCTGCCCGGCTGCTGGCATGTGCTATGTGTAAAAAATGGGGCTGAGGAAACCTGCCTTCCCCTGAATCAGGGCTGAAGGTGCAGAGAGCTGATGCCCATCGGGTTTTGGGGGTTTTTTCCTCTCCTTGGAAGCGGGAACATGCCAAGAGCAGGAGCTGTGCTTTCCTTTTTAGAGGTCTGGGAGAAGAGGGAAAGCACAGCTGGGCTGAGACTCCAGGTTCCAGCAGGCATTGTGGACCCACAGCTGGATCCAGCTTTGGCTCTTCTTTGCCTGGTGCCACACCCCTGCTGCACCCACCAAGGCACAGAGGGACGTGGTGGCCACCCTGTGAGCAGCCCTTTGCCTGTGCTGCCTCCTAACCATCGCACACGTTGTGTCCAGCCTCACAGAGATCATTCGGAAGGGTGGCAATGGAAAGAAGAGCGAAAACTGAAATGAGCCAGGGACGCAGGTTGAGCCTCTATTTGGTTTTCCATTTCCTGCAGATTTTATGAACTTTTCACTGGGTTTTCTTTTCTTTTAGCACAAAGTTACGCTGACAGTAAAGTAGTATTTAAACGTTTTGGTGGTTGGAAAATAAACTCTGCCCGTTTAGTGCATTAAATTGGTGCAGAGAATGGTTTCAGGAAAGCCATAGCGTGCTCAAGTCCTGCAATGCTGAGAGCCAGGGGGAGGTTTGTGCCAGCTCTCGCTGAGTGTGTCTGTCCTACCTAAAAGTAGGGGACCTGAAATCTGTTCGGGGGGACGGTGTGATTCCCAGAGCTTTCCATGAGATTAGCTTGGTGGACATTGGGGGATTCTTCCCCGTCTTCCACATCCATTGCTCAACACTGTTTGGATGGAGTTACAGTGACTTTAAACCCCACTAGCACAGCAGGACCTGTCTCCAGTGGGATCAAATCCTTCTGCCTTTGCTCGTGAGAGCGATATTGCACTTGGCTGATGCTCTCCCGTAGGATTAATACCGTGGGACTGAGTAACGTCATCTCCCTTGCAGGTATCTGCGTTTGGAGCAGAGGCTGCATCTGACCTGCTGTGCTTCAAGCAACGAGCGTGGTGTTACGTGGACTTCACTGCTGTGTGTAAAGCTCCCAGACGTGGTCGTGGATCCTCTCCTTCCTGCCCTCTGAAGACAAAGCTCAGCAACGGAATGAAAAGGAAAGCGTGATGAAAGGAGTCTGCGTCCCTCATTCTCTTCTCCATCTCTATGCTTTGAAGGCTCTTCAGGAGCATTAAAATGCCTTGGTGCTGAGCGGGGTTGGCAGGGGGAATTGTGAAAAGCAAGTTCTCTGAAATGCTTAGTCGACTTCTGACAGAACCTCTGGTGTAAAATATCTAAAGTTATACTGGGAAAACAGCCCTCTCCTAGATGGGCTATCCATCATCTACCCAAATGTGGGCATCCACACGCCCGAGTGGGCTGGGTTCCTTTGCAGGTGATGGAGATAAAAAAACACTTTCAGGATGCTTCATTTCACCCCAAAGCCTAAACTGAATCACATCAGCTGCACCTAAGCAGTGCCTGCTCTCCCCATGGACTCCCAAGTGGTCCTGGGGGGACCAGCTCCATGCAGGCAGTAGTGGAGATCAGTCTCTCCTCTGCACCCGAGGCTCTCCACGTCACGGTGAGACCCTGAAAGCTACAGCTCCCTCTTATTCATGGTGGTGCACCCACGTCAGCCTGATGAGCCGTCCCCCATCAGCTTTGTCATTTCTAGTGGTGTTTGTGGAAGGAGAGCTGGTGGCGTGGGGTGCCAGGGTGACAAGATGCAACATCCCCGGCTGAGCCCTATCCCAAAGGGGACATCCCCCGAAATCCCCTCCTCAGTGGGACATCTCTCATGCAGGTGTGCCAGGGCGACTCCAAAACCCTTCTGGCAGCTAAGAAAATGGTGGAAAAGGACAGAAATTCTGTATCTCTGGTTTTCACTAGTCCCTGGGGCAGTTGCACAAGCTGCCGGCAGCCTCTTGCTCCATCAGCTTTCCGCTCTCTGCTCTCCCACTGCCCGAACCCCTGCCGTGTTTGGGGCTTGCTGGCTGCCGCAGCAGCAGGACAGCCCGTGGCTCCCAGCCCGCGAGGGCTCATCCGCAGTGTTTATTCATCCAGAACTCGGCTGCACTAGCACAAAACGGGGATAACTGCTGTCTCTCGGCAGCCAGCCCTGCGGGTTAATGCTGGTATAATAAACTCATTTTCTCCAGCTTTTTCTTGGGGTGCTAAGCACAAACTCTCATCCACAAACCCACGTGAGCTGCAATTATTCAACCCTAACCCTGTGCATTAAATACTCCCCAAGCTGCGCTCCGGGAGGTCAGTCGCAAGCAGCCAGCAGCCGGGACGTGGGGCTGCGGTAAACCATAGCAGCACTTCTGGCACGGGGACAAAATCCCCCAATCTTGGAGAGGAAAACACAGATTGTGGCCGGCCTGGGCAATGCAAAGGCCAGTGAAGACAAGGGGAAATTGCAAAGACAACAGGCTGGACGCAGAAGTAGAGGAAAGTGGCAGCTGAGTTTGCAAGGAGCGAGTCTGTGCACCGAAGGGGCTGTTCTGTGCTAACGGGGCTGAAAGCGGAGGTAAAGCCGTTGTTAGCATTTCCCTTGGGGGAGCGATTAGGAGCTGGCGAAATGCTGTTGACAGAAATACTGTCTGCAGCGCGGAGCGGCTAATGAAGAAGACGGGTCTTGTGTTCCCAGAGAGAATGGGACGCTGGAGAGTCACTGGTATTTTTAGCCTGGCTTTCTAAAGAAATGAGGGGTTTTGCAATTGCTCATGATACAGGCAGATGGAGGCTGCTCTTGCCATTCCTCCTTCTAGTGAGCATTAGGCTCAGGGGCCCCATCACCCCCTGGCTTTGCCTTCCCTCTGTGGAGACCATCCCCCACCACACTCTCCAGCAGCAGCAATTTGGAGGTGACCTGGGGACAAGAGACGAGGCTGCTGCTCCCTCCCGCACTCCTCGCTGATGCCAGTCGCCTGAGCCATCCGGGCAGGACACGGCTGCCTGTAGGTTGGGGCACAGAGACCTTGAGCGAGCCTGGCAGTGAGGGATGAAGGCTGCTAGTGAGGAAGACTCGCTACAGGGTTCATTTCTGCATGGCTGTGGCTAGCACCCGCATCAAGCTAAGGTCAGACACCCACGGGTGCTTCTGCCTCCAAGTCTGGTGCCAACACAGTGGCCACCAGCAAGGATGAGTTTACCCTGTTCCTCAGACCTTGCTGGTTTGAAAGACCCTGAGTTATTTTAGCCATGTTTTTCTTTCTTTTGGGTGTTTTATGCAGCACTGAGAAGGATTTGACCTACAAGGCTAAAGTGCTTCTGCCTAGTGACCGTCCCTGTGCACTTGTTGGAGGATCCTATTCTTCTCTGCCTCTTGGTGGGAGCTGGTCCTGCTCATGCCAAAGAAGTTGTCAAGATACAACAGCTGCCAGAGAAACAGCAAAACCCACAAGTTTCTGTCCAGAATTTGTTTCCTGAAGACTCTTTGGACAGGGGTTGTGTGTGAACGTGCCTGCCATTTAATGGGAGGAGCAAAGACCGAGGTCGTTTGGAAAGGCAGGCTTTCTCACAAGTGATTTCCCACCATTTGCTCAGCTTGAATCACAGAATCATAGAATCACAGAATGGTTTGGGTGGGAAGGGACCCCTAGAGGTCACCCAGCCTGACCCCCCTGCAGGAGCAGGGACACCTTGAACCACATCAGGTCCACCCCCTCTCTGGGCAACCCCTGCCAGGGTTTCACCACCCTCATTGTAAAGAATTTCTTCCTTAGATCCAGTCTAAACCTACCTTGGTTTAGTTTAAAACCATGACCCCTTGTCCTGTCTCAGCTGGCCCTGCTAAAAAGTTTCTCCTGGACTCTGCAAAGTTTTCTTGCTTTTGAAAGTACAGGCTCTCCTAAGCCGTTTCAGCTCCATGCCTGAAGGAGTTGTAGGCAGTGATTCATCAGAGAGACAACACATCCCAAACAACTAGAAGGTCAACTGCTTCTTAAGGCAAAAATATTTTGCAGTGATTTATAGCCATATCTGGGAAAATAGAGTTCTTACATGGCTAAAGCAGGCAAATAATAGGTTGAGAAGAATTCCTTGTCATCAAGACTCGGCGCCCTTCTCACGGAAACATCACACGCTTTACATACTGTAACAAAATGTAAGTTTTATTCTGTTTTATTAGTAATGGATGCGGAATAACCAGTTGAAGAGCTGGACTGATATATCTTTCTCTTTTGACCAGTGTTTAATATTCTAACTACAGTCCAGATGTAACATTTACACTGAAAAATACTTAACAGATTCGACCTCATACTCAAAAAATTCCTAGTACAAATACAGTTAGTACATAAAAAAATGAACAACAACAACACAAAACAAAAAAAAAAAAACAGTCCCAGAAACTTCGTAACAGCACAGACTGGTTATGGCCTTGAGTTAAGTTCAAGTATTTCCCAGTGGAATGCAATGCAAGCAACAAGGTAATCTGGCTTTTACGTGGGACATTCCTGGCCCTGAATGGTAAGAATAGAAATACACGCGTGGGCACTTTATCTGACCAAGTTTAGTGAGAGAGTCAACATTTACGATTAGTTCAGCTACAAAGCTAAACCCGTCTTTGTGTGTGAACAAAACTACTAACCTGGAAAAAAAAAAAAAAGCAAAGTATTAATTCTACTACTGGCGTTTCTTCTGTGGCTGACACTGCTTGTCGTCGCATGGAAATTCCTTGAGATGCCAGTTCAGTTTGTAATGGTTGTGATGGGTTTTTTGCTTGTGGTTATGCTTGTTTTGCCTCTCTATCCTTTTCCTTCCCAAACTGACAGGATAAAAGTGGGAACTTCTGCTCCTGCCCCGAAAGGAGTCACTCCTGCAGAGCCATTAATGTATGTTGGTCGCTTTTGTGGGGATGACTTGGTGGAAAGACACAATATCCAAAAGGCTTTAGAGGCCAAGGAATGGAGGAGGAAGTGGGGAAGTGAGCAACTCAATATATGTAATAATAATAATAATAATAATAATAATAATAATAATCAAAGTGGAATAGGTACTGGTACTATAACATGCTCTTTAGTATTGGGAACATGAACATAAAACATTCCAGACTGCAATGCAGACAAGAATAGCAGACCTCTCAAGTTACTATAGTCCTTGGATGAAATCAGCTCATGGATGTAGAAGAGATGATTGAACCAAATAAAATATTATAGATATCTTGTCAATTAATAATATTCCTTTATATTTCTAGGACCGTCTGACTCACACTGGCTCCTGTGTGCGGCACAGATGGGATCTGGGAGAACTGCAGTCCCCCCTGCCTAGGGTCAGAGGAGTCAGCAGTGTCCTCCAGGCTGGCTGGGACCTTTCAGGCAACTTTGCATCTCTCCCAGGCAGCCCCGGACACGGGAGCACTCCTGCTGGGAATGTGCCCTTGTGCTGCTGTCCCTGCCAAAACGCTTGGAAAACATGGGAAAGCAAGATCAGCTTCCATTTGCAAAGCATTTTATGCAAGGAAGCATTTCAAGCCTGATGGATGAGCGGGGCTGGCTGGAAGGACAGCGGAGAGAGTGGTTATCCCATCTCTCTGCCCAACGAGGAGGTTGTATTGATCACCCAAGTGTCTGCCCTGGCTCTAGTACTCGTCAATATTGCAATTATTGACTCTCACTGTGGAAAACAGCGTGTGCGCATTAAATGTGATGGTGACACCAGCCGGGAGGAGGCTGCAAATCTGCTGCAGGACTGACCGATCATTCAAAACTCCCTTGGCCCACTGGGTCCGTGGTGTGAAAATAAGAAAAAGGCAGTCTGAAGGAGGTCAGGAAGATCCTGGCCATACAAGCACATGTCTGCAGAGAGGGGCAATCCCTGTGCCTGCAGAAGCTGGGGTTTCAGGGAGGACCAGGGTGGTGGATGGGTGCAGGGTGGAAAGCTGGCCCAAGGGCCAGTGCTGCCACACTGCTGGGAAGATGTGGACTGGCTGGTGATGGCTCAAGGACACCAAGGAAAACTGCTGGAAAAGCAGCCCTTGGAGAATGGCTAATGAGACAGGGGTTGTTTAACTTAGAGCAGATTTGAGGGAGGTGAAAACAGTCTTCAAACACCCAAAAGCTTCTGCAGACACTGAAGGCATGAGATGCTCTCCGCGTCTCATGGACGAGAAGGAGAGGAGATGCCAAGGGTTGCAGCAAGGGAGGTTTGTGTTAGCCATTAAGGAGGCATTTGATGGTGGCAAGTTGGAGAGAAGATCCGTGGTCCTTTCCAGCCCTGTTGCTCTAAGTGTCTCTGAACCTGCAGCCGTGGAGCCGTGAGATCTCCTCCCATCGGACACTGACCAGCTATATCATTGGAGCAGGTATTGCTGGGGGTATAGCCCTGCTGTATAAAATGGGTTTAATGAGTCAGTCAGGTCCCTGTGATCAAGTTCTGGGGTTTTTGGCTTAAAATCCTCCCCCTGCTTCCCCCACGGCGAGGCGTTTGCAAGGATGGTTTCCTGAAGCGAGAGACATGGAGGCACATGCCCGTTCCCGCATTTGGTGACTCGCAGGTGAATCTGCAGCCAAGGGGCTGATCTGAGTCATCGGGAAATGCTCAGGCCATGTCTGGGGCTGAGGGAGGTGTCACTGGTAGGGGCAGGAGAAATCCAAAATCTGGACTCCTGCACAGCAGAGTGCCTTCCAGCATTGCGTGGGAAGGATGAGTTTATCCGGGGCTGTGATATTGCTGCTCATCTCAAAAGAATCAGAAAAACCCAGGCAGCATCCAGACAGAGTTCCCATCCTTCCCTTGGGATCATGACTTTAAATACACACTGCTTCCCACGGGACACAAGGCTGTCGATAAATGAGAACTCACATCGAAGCGGAGGATAAGCTTCTGCCCTGGACAGCTGTAATTACTAGGGAGGAAATTTCCACCCAGCAGCACCTCTGCTCTCCTCCCCAGCAGCCCTGGACCTTCATGCATTTACCTTCATGATAGCACCACCATCAGCAACCAGCCTTCTCCCGCATTGGCCAGTGCAGCCCCAGCCCGGGAGGAGAACACGTTCCCGCACGCGGCTCACAAGGACCAACAGCACCGTTGGATATGTTCGTCTCCCCACCACCGTGGTGTGAACTTTCTGAACCTTTCATTCGAAATTCACAGCAGGAAAGGCTATCCCTCCACACAACAGATGTATGTTACTGCTGACCATTGATGGTGGAGGGATGCACTGATCCTCCTCCCAGATGTGTTTGTCCACTTTCGAGGGGAAGAACTCTAGCAGTGAGAGCAGGCAGAGCTCCAGGCATTTTACTGATGGACCAGGAACCAGCAAGACCAGGAACAAGCCTGAAAGTGTTCCCCAGGCTGTTATGCAAAGCCATACTGAATATTTGTAGCTGGATACCTCATAGGATGCTTCTTTCCTTTCTTTTTAAACCTACTTTTTTGCTGCCAGCACTGTTCTCTGATGGCATGTCACAGCTCAGCTGAAGTTACCAGGTGCTGAAGGCCATACCCAGGTGTGTCATCCTGGCCAAAGGGCCTGACCACCTGAGGAATGGGCGTCCTCAAGGCTTTCAGAGACCGATCTGAAGGACATGAGAAAGATGCCCAGCAAGAAGTCACGTAGATCCATTGGATAAGAAATACTGGCATGGGGACCTGCATGTGACTTTGGGTGGCTGGCACGGCCCTGAGGGAGAAGCTCGGCTCAGGGGCAGTGCTGTGTTTGGTGAGGATTTACTTCTTTTGCATTAGGTTTGATCTTGAAGGCTCTGCCTATTTGGGTTCTCCACGGTGAATCAACTTTTGGACTCTTGGGAGGTTGTGAGAGCATCTGCCAAGCCACAGGCGTCTTGGGAACATCTGAGGGATGAGACCCGCTCTGAGACGTGGCAGAGTGGGGCAGTGGCTGGTTTCAGCCTCTACCGGTTGGAGATGCTCCCTGTGCTCCCAGTGAAGAGGTTTTCTTTCTATTTTGTGTTACTGGAGGGGAACAAAGCCACAGCCCTGCAGCTGTGCAAGAGACACGGGATGAAAACACCCTAACAAAGCATGTCCTCAGCACTAGCAGGAGCCTTGGAGGTCAGCAGCTTGGTCTTAACATGCCCCCAGACTCCCGTAGCTGTGTGAAAACCACCCTAACACCAAGGCAAGCTCAAAGAGGTCCCCATAAACCAGTGAAAAACTTCCTGCTACTGTCCTGGTCCTGTCCCTGCTGAAGCCAGATCTTCTGCTAAGCGCCCACAAGCAAGTGTGTGAAACCTGCCAGTTCCCCAGGGGTGGCTGGAAGCCCAAATACTGCTCCAGGATGAGATCAGCCACAGTCCTGGACCAGTTGGGTTTTCCCAGGGGGAGGTGGAAGGCTGTAAGATTACCAGAGGGTTGATATTACATTTATAAATCTCTCTCTATGTCTATATTCACACCCACATGTTCATATATGTCTGTATATATACGTACATGTACACACACGCGCATCATATACACACTATGCATAGATCTGCCGTCTGCCACTATTTATAAGGGCTTGATTAAACAGAAAAACAAATTTGCCAACGCTGATCTTCCAATCTCTACTAATATTCAGCAAATAGAGAAGTCTAAACCCTTTACGATTTTGTTTTCCTGGTTGCATAAAGGCACTTTCTGATGATGTGAAGCAGCAGTTTTGTTAAAAACTCTTTTTAACTGCAACGATTCCCATCAGAGCTGTAGCAAGCGCTACAGCAGGCACTGGTATGACGCAATGTCGCTGCTCGCTCCTGCTGCGTAGTGTTTGATCGTGTTTGCTTTTTGCTTCCATGCCGAGGAATAAAAGACAAAAACTTTCAGCGCTGTGCTCTGCTTTCAGGTCTCCCCGTGGAAGACAGTCGCTGTGTTTCAGCTCCGTAACCTGATGTGGGTGCCCGCTCATGGCTCGCAGCATCAAACATTGCCTTCGTTTCCAGCGTTGCCTGCTAGAGCATCTAACCATTCGGGCAGGACATCAGCTGTAAGTGTGTCCTAAAGGTTCATGCAATGTGTCAGTGGTTTTCTTATCAAGGGATCAGAAATTAATTTTGATTAAGGATATTTAGTAATTAAACACTGCCTGACCTACAGCACTCTAGTCTCGCCGTGCAGGCGGGGAGCTGCTCGCTGTCAGCCTGACTTCCCTCCTGAGCCACCAGCAGCTCCATTTCCCATCACAGCACGTTGTCCAGTCTCTTCTGGGGGCTCCGGTGGTGACCAAAAGGGTGGGAGATGCGGGGGGGGGGTTGCTGTTGCTCGCTGGAGGTTCCCAACTGGAGAACATTTTGGAAACAGGAAAATGTCTTTTGTTAACGCATTGGAAGACAGCATTAAATTGGTCTGAAGCTCCTTTTCTCTCCTGACTTCTGTATAAAAATTGTGCCTGTGCCCTGTGAAATGAACGCAAGACAATACCGAAAAACAGAAACCAACCAAAATAAAAACCTCACTGACGCTGCTCTCTCTCCTTTCAGTCGAAGCTATATCCATACAGACGTCTTTCCATCTTTACTGCTTGAGCTCCCTTTCTCCAAGCAGGCCTTGGGTTTAGCACCTTGTTTCTCCTGGGCGGTGTTGGCCCTGTTCTGCTCTACCACCGTGCCACCTGAGGCGGGACTGCTGGTTCGAGAAGGTTGCGTGTTGGCCTGGGTGCTGCTGTAGCTCTGGAACGCTATGTCTAACTGCTCCTGGGCCACTCGCAAGTGTTTGTGAAGGGTGGACAAGTCTGCCGGGAGGTTCTCATCCGGGCTGGTGCACTGCTGCTCCTGAGCGACGTTGGCCAAGTTCTGCTCATGAGCCATCAAGCTGTTGGGGATCTTGGTGGACTTCTCTGATTTCACTACCAGGTTGTACTCAGGAGGGCAGGAGATGTTCTTTGGGTAGGCATAGTTGTAGGGAGGCTGCCGAAAGCTGTTGATTTTCCGGTTGCGAATGGCGTCTCGGATGGTCCCAAACCCCAGGTGGAACATCTCACACATATTCAGCAATAAGCACAGGCAGCTCACGACGTACATCACCAGGAGAAAGATGGTCTTTTCTGTTGGCCGGGACACAAAGCAGTCGACAGTGTGTGGGCAAGGGACTCTGTTGCAGACGTAATAGGCTTCTACCTCAAAACCGTAGAGCAAATACTGCCCTATCAAAAAGCAAACTTCAAACGAAGCTCTGGTAAGTAGCTGGAAGACATAGATTTTCATCAGTCCTTCTTGCTGGATGCGCCTCCTCCCATCGTGCTTTTGCTGCTCTTTGCTTTTGGGCTTGGCTTTGGCTTTCTCATTTTCTGCTGTGCCGTCGGAGATCATGGGCTCCTCTTCGTCAGCCTCCATCGGGTCCTCCATGTTGCGCACCGCCTGCCAGTTCAAAGCAAACTGCTTCTTCTTCTTGAATCCCTTGAACTTCTTCTCCTCCTCCGCCGACCGGGCGATCCTGTGGATGGCATAGCCCAGGTACATGACCGAAGGAGTGGATATCATGATGATCTGGAAGACCCAGAACCTGACGTGGGACAGCGGCGCGAAGGCATCGTAGCAGACATTGTCGCAGCCGGGCTGCTTGGTGTTACAGGTGAACTTGCTCTGCTCATCGGAGTAGATGGATTCCCCTCCCACTGCTGTCAAGACAATGCGGAAGACGATGAGCACGGTGAGCCAGACCTTCCCCACGAAGGTGGAGTGATTGTGAATCTCTTCTAGAAGGCGGGTTAGAAAGCTCCAGCTCATGTTGGTCATAAGGGCTACTCAGTTATAACCTGCCAGAAGAAGGGGAAGAAAACAAACCATAGCTGTGAGTTAACATCTGTGGCTGCAGTTGGTGATACAGCTGTGACGTGGGCTCATCTGTGACAGATGAGGTCATTCTATCTCCTAGAGGCACCCTTCGCTGCTGCACCCTGTCTCCCCAGGACCTGTGAGAGACCATGACATGGGCCTGACCCCCGCAGCATCAGGGAATGAGCTGTGGCCAGCGTGGGGACGTGCTACATCACCGTAATCGGAGGCAGGGATACCTGGTGGTACTAGATACACACGGATCCACAGCACAGCAAGCCACGGCGCCTGCTGGATTCCCCATTACCCGCTTTGTTGCCTGTTTCAAGACGTTGCTCAGCTGTAAGAAGCGTTCGGGTAACTGTAAGTGGAACCCATGGCACCATGGAAGCCACCCAGGCACAAAAAGGTGATTAAGTTGTGACGGCCTCTTGCTTGCACGCCTTTGGCTCAAGCGCCTGAGCTGAAGGCAGGAGTAGGGGATGCTGCCCACATCCCAAAGACTCGCGCTACTGAAATATCCTTCACTAGCAAACCCAGAAAAATGCAAAGAATCAGCAAAAGAATGGGAATATTTATGTTTACAGGCTGATGGCCCTTTTAAGTTCCTTTTGAAACAAAACAAAACAAAACAAAACAAATGTTTAATCAAATGCAGACTGTTTTAAAAATAAACCTTGAAAAGCTTTCAGAAAAAAACATGCATTTATTAGAAGACCTGGACAGCTGGGGAGGAAGAGCTCGTAATAACCATTTTGTGTTTAGCTTAGCTTGCAACGGGGCCTCAGCCCGCGCTCCTTGGGTGACCCCAGGCATCACTGAAGGCAGGTGGGAATTTTACTGCTTGACTGGCAGCAGCCCTGACGGATACCTGGAGATGAGAGCAAGAGGGAAAGCACTCGGACCCAAAGAGTACTGTGGTGGGGTACGGCGGGGCTCTCGCTCCAGAGCAGCAGGGGATGGGATCCAACCTCTCTGCCCCCCTGCATCCCTCCTCTGAATCGTCCCCAGGCTCATCATGGAGTTTACCCACCTTAGAATCACAGAATCATTTAGGTTGGGAAAGCCCTTTAAGATCATCAAGCCCAACTGTTCTCCTCCCCCTGCCATCCCCCCCCCAAACCCCGGCCGTCAGCACCACCTCTGCCCGGCTGTTAAATCCCCCCAGGGTGGGGACTCGACCCCTGATGAGGGCTCCCCTCAGCCTCCTCTGCTCCAGGCTGAACCCCCCCAGCTCCCCCAGCCGCTCCCCAGCAGCCTGGGGCTCCAGACCCCTCCCCAGCTCCGCTGCCCTTCTCTGGACACGCTCCAGCCCCCCCAGGTCCTTCGGGGAGGGAGGGGCCCAACCCTGACCCCAGCAGTCGAGGGGCGGCCTCCCCAGTGCCCAGGACAGGGGCACGGTCCCTGCCCTGCTCCTGCTGGCCACACCACTCCTGGTACAAGCCAGGAATTCCTGATACCATGTTTGCACGCAGACACCTGATGGCAGGCAGGAAATTCGGTACCTAAGAACCAAGTCCCGCCCATAAACTGATGCCTACCACTGCACCCAGAAGCCAAGAGTGGCAGCCGTAGGAGCCAAACACAGAAGCACGGACACAAGTGGGTTATCATGGGGTCGCACGTGGCAGCGCTGTGTTATAGCTGTGGTCCTTCACGATCATGCAAAGGAAGAGAAAGGAGCTGTTGCCCATACATTGAAAGAGCATGGACAGCAAACCTACCCCTCCGTGCTGGCTGAGCGTGGCCAGCTGGAGGGAAATATCCAGGAGGGAAAAATGATGCCATGAGACACGAGCCTGGTCCTAACCTGGCTTTGCACCACTTTGATATGGAGACAGAAGAATATGCCCTAGGGTTTCCATGGCACAAGCTGAGCTTTGAGCCCATTGCCCGTGCCCGGGCGCAGGGTGGGAGCAGCCACCGGCATCAGCTACGGGCACAGCCCCGCGCGGGAGGAAGAAGGGGAATGTGCCTCGCTCTGTTCTCCACATCGAGCCCTTCTGGAATGCGATTTTCGCTCGCGCTGCTTCTTAGGACAGGAGCCAAACAGCGCTGGTTTGCTTGATGCTCGCCTTTGTGCTGCCCCGGGAGGTAGCGGCGCAGTCCGAGGCTCGAGATGCAGTGAAATTCTTCTGCTGTCGAGGGCTCTCGAGAGCAGGCAGATGGAATTTTCTAACCCTGCTATTTCTAGATCAAACAAATCCTCTGCGAACCCAAACCCCCAAGTCTTCACACGCCGGACCGAGACTGTGGGAGCGCTCTGCAGATGGTGCAGATGGACTCTTGTCCTCCAGCTGGAGAAACTGAGGCAGGGAGCAGAGAAACAGCTCACTCTAGGCCACCTCTAGCCAGGAGAAGAGGTGGGGAAGGTCTCCTCTTTGCCCTCAACTTACCCGGTGAAGAACAACAGCCCTCAAAGCTGCTGGGACCAGAATCCCCATCTCCTGCCCCCAAAATGATGCCTTGGACCCGATGGTCAGTATAGAAATGCTGCTGCAGATAGGACAATTCACCTATTGCAGAAGAATGTGGAAAGCAGTCGCCAGAGACCTATTCTTTATTTCCTGAGGAAACGGGATTTGTTCAGGGGTGAGACGGGAAAGCATCCCCTCCGAGTGCCTTTTTGCTTCTTTGGACTCAGTGGATACACTTTAAAGTGTCTTTAACCCTTCCTCTGAGTTCTGTCCACATTCAGATACGGGCAAAATGGGGCGTTAAATGATTTGCAGGATTAATCCGGGCACTCGGCCAAGCTCCAGCTGACGGGGGGGTGCTGGGAAGGGAAGTCCCCCCCAGGTGCAGCGATGGCCCACTGTGGGACATGGTGCATCCATCTCTGGAGCATCTGGGTCCGGCCGAGGCAGGGCCAGGGCTTGGCCAGAACACACGTCAGCCCCATCTTGCCTGGCCCCAGGTGGGTGTTCAGCCACCTCCTGGATCCCATCTGCATCCCCAATTAGCTGCCAGCCCCAAATCGTTCTAAAACACGGGCTTCAAATGGCCTGTAGAGCAGTTCATTTACAATTTCAGTGCTCACCTGAAGGGTTTATGAGGTCTACACCGGGGATAATTTACCATTTTGCAAGTGAAAGACACACTTCCCAAAGCTCAGTCACCTCCCAGCGTCAGGTTTCATAGAATCATAGAATCGCTTTGGTTGGAAAAGACCTTTAAGATCATCGAGTCCAACCTTTAACCTAACCCTGCCATCCCACCACTAAACCCTGTCCCTAAGCACCTCATCTGTCCTTCTTTTAAATCCCTCCAGGGATGAAGACTCTACCACCTCCCTGGGCAGCCCATTCCAGAGCCTGACAACCCTTTCTGTGAAGAAGTTTTTCCTAATGTCTAGCCTAAACCTGCCCTATGGAGGGGCAGGGAGGGTCTGACCAAGGTAGTGGTGGCTTTTGGAGTAAATAAGTTTTGATCTGATAATAGTCAGGGTTGTTAACAAAGCACCCGCTGTCTCCTCTGGGAAACATATTTTGGAAAGGAGCACCCAATAGCATTGGCGTAAAACACTCACAAACCTCCTGAGTCAGGGAGAAGGAAAAGAAATTGCAAAATAATTGAAGCGGCGGGTTGTTGCTTTGGGAAGACACCTCTGGTTACCAGCCACCAGCCCGAGCTGTTGGTCCTGCCCGTTGGCGCTGCGGCTCAGCCCTCCGTGCACAGCTGGATCTGCAGGAACATCTGCAGCCTCCAGCTGTCCCTGTGCTCCCGGCACCCCACCGTATGTATGATCACACCTTGACGGCGTTAACGCTCCTGCATGTCCACCCACCCTCCCGGCACCACATTTGAGAGTGGGCGCTGAAGGAAATGAGTTTTAAAACCCTCCTGCAATCAGTTCCCTCAAACTTCCAGTGGGACTGGAGCATCTCCCCTATGAGGAAAGGCTGAGGGAGCTGGGCTTGTTCAGCCTGGAGAAGAGAAGACTGAGAGGGGACCTCATCAACACATATAAATATCTCAAGGGTGGGTGTCATGAGTATGGAGCCACTGGGTGAGCCTGCTTGGGCGGGGGGGTGGGACTGGGTGAGCTCCCAAGGTCCCTTCCAACCCTTGACATTCTGGGATTTTGTGATTCTGTGTGATTCTGTGGGTTTTGTGACTTACTGGCTAGAAACGCTATACTATGAGATTTCAATGCCTTTAATTACTGGGAGGGGTTGTTAGTACCCCATTATATTTTGGAATCTAAAAGCTTCCAAGGAAGGATTTGCTGACATTGCTTTTGCTGATGGATGGTACTAGGAACAGACCGTGTCTTATCTCCTCACGATGCCAATCAGAGCACCAAAAAATGGATTTTTGCACTTTCTGTGCACTTCAGACCGAATTCCTCCGTGCAATGGAAAAGTTACGCAGTCTAACTCCCCAGGGAAAAAAAAACCAAAAAACCCGCGTGGATCTAGGGCAGGTAGCTGGATTAGGCTGGGTGGTGCACGTAGCTAAATTACTTGCCAGAGTGAGCACGTGAGAGGATCTGCCATCCCCCTGGCTTGGAAATCCATTCCTTCAGAGTCACCTGTACCCTCACGCGTTTTCCCCAGACTAGCCGACGTGCAGTGTGTGAAGCACACGCGGGGTAGTACAGGTTTCATTCTGAAACAGCCACAGAGGGGTGGTTGGACCTCTCAACCTGCCAACAGCATTTCCAGTGCCTTTGGCCCAGCCTTAAAACAGGGAAAAATCACATGTAGCCAGGTACAGAAACGAGTTGTTGGCTCCACGTTCTCATAGAATCACAGAATCGTTCGGGTTGGGAAAGCCCTTTAAGCTCCCCCAGCCCAACCGTTCCCCTAACCCTGCCGTCCCACCACTAACCCTGTCCCTAAGCACCGTGTCTGCCCGGCTGTTAAATCCCTCCACTTTAAATACCACCTCATCACGGTGACTTCCCAAATCCCGCTGACCCCTCTGCACAAGCGCAGGCACAACTGTTGGAACGGGGAAAACTTTAAAAGCCTGAACCTAAAATCAGCAGAAGGAGGACAAAATTAAGTAGAAAAAAATATCCGTGCGAGCTGGGTGCCCTTCCTTTCTGCACGGTTCCCACACCATTACTTAAGCTGCAGGGGAAAAAATGGGGGGAAAAAAATCGACTTACAGAGACATGGTGCTTCTCGTGGCGGCTTTCCCTCCTCCGCCGACATTCCTGTGCCGCCAGCCCTCCGCCTTGCCCTAGATAACCTCCCGCCGCCGTGGCCCGGCCATGCTCCAGCAGTTGGAAACCAGTGCTCAAGGGAAGAAGTATTTAATGTGCTGTCAAACCCCGCCTCTGCCGCGGCGGGCACCCACCGCCGGGAGGTCCTGCCCCAGCTGCCCGCACCCCTCCGGCCGGTCCCACCACCGCTCGTGGCTCCTCTGTCCCTCACCGAGCCTTGGGAGAAGGAGGGGAGGTGCTAGATAAGATGTACCGGGGAAAAAAGGGGCATTGGTTTGAAATCCAAACAAGCCGCCAGGTCTGGTTTTAGGAACGCTGCCTGGAATTTTGCTGCTGAGCTCTTGAGCCG